GCTTCGTGTGCCAAGTCTAAAGAGCCATATCTGGGCCACAGCTCAACCCCGTCTCCAACTGGTCGTCCCACCCCCTCGTCGCCTCTAGGCCCGACCGCATCGTACCCAATCGTTGGCTCATCCCAAGTCCGTCTTTGCCGTCTCCAAGTGCAATCCGAGTACATGCGTCTTTCCTGGCATCTCTCCCCGCCTGACACGCTTCGGCCGACTCTGGAACATCTTCTATCAAAGCCCGGCTGTCTGCCCTGTGTCATGGTCAGCTAAAGAGCCCCATTCAGCTATGTGTGGTTGTGTGTGTGTGTGTTGGTGTGCATGGGTGTTTGTGAGCCTATCCCTCCTGATGCCTATACGGCTCTCCTGTCTCTAAGGGCACCCACGTGTGGGCAAAGTACGGCTGATTGGTTACTGGCAAGAGCTCATTAACAGTAAATTATATTTCAGCTCGTCCATTGGCCCGGAAACAAGTGTACATGGCGCCTTGGCAGCAGCGGTCTTCACTTCTTCAGACGTGACATTTTACTTTGGCTTAATCGAAATCAGCTACAGGCGTTGACGTCGGCCTGGCCATACCGACTGGTCTGACAGGAAGACAAAGCAAAGATGTGAAGACGACCCTGATGCCTCTGTTGTATGGTCAGGTAGGCGGTTGCTGTCGCAAAGTATAATCTCCAAGTTGGCCGACTCAATTGCGAATTGGGCGTGACTTCAATTAAAACCCTTCCCGGTCTGATGGTCAAACGGGAGTCGTTCTGTCCATGCCGGACACGCGGTTGGGACCGTTTTGCTGCGACGACTATTCCTCGGGGCGAGATTGGCTTTGCGTTAAATGAAGTCATTCGAGGGTAGCAAAATTTGACAATATTCAGTTTCTGAATAAAAGCTAAACAATCTGAGAAGCCATTCATCAGAGTCCAGCTGGCCTATGGAGACAATTGTGACGTGACTTCATTTTGAAGGGAAAGTTGGTTGGATGGTATTGATACCATACGTACGTATTATATGCGAAGAAAAATTGGGTTTCGAGGAATCTCTTGTTCCATAATTGTTGAGCTTACTTCCATTTCGAGTGATAGTATTGGGTGAAGAGATTCGAAGGTTGGTTCCACCAGAAGACGACAACAATTATGGATGGAATTGGTTAAATGTTCTCATCCAAAACTGAGGGAGGATTGTCACGTAGTGAAGACTGTTGTATTGTGCGAATAGATCGTCGGCGCACCGCCTTGAGACTCCGATGAATATTTGCTGAGATTTCGTTCGTCATGTGACGGATATCGTCAGAGCAGGGTACCACATTTAACGATAATTCACCAAAAGCACGAAGGCAAGAAAGATGGCCGGCTTCAAACCTACTTCATTTTTATAGAAGTTGTTTGACCTTGTTTTCGCAAATGTATAGGTGAGGCCAGATCATCACTCCGCATATCCAAGATAATCTCAAATTGAAATCTCAGCTCCACATCTCAACCGTTCTGCAGAAAGTTGGTCAAAGGATTGGCCCTACATGTTTGTTTGACAATCTGTAACTGGGTGCTGAGAATGGCAAGACTCACTGACATTGCCGGCGCTGGGAATTATTATCGGAAGATCTCCTCCACTATAG